TTTAACCCCATCCCTTCACCTCACACACTGCGACGTGCTGAATAACGCATTTTCTGGAACAAACCATCCTGTTTAAGGTCTCTGTGCCTTTACTCATGCTTTTCCGTGTTCCTGAAATGCCTTTCCTCCCCCCCGCCCCAATGTGGGTCAGTGTGACCTAGAGAAGCAGGCAGGAGCCGTGTCATCTGCTGGGCTTAGATTCAAAATCTCACTTCTGGCCCTTACTTCTGTGACTTTGGCACATTGTTTAAGAACCTCAGGGATCTTCCCCGGGAAAATGGCAGCAACTGCCTGTCTCCTTGGAGTGACTAACCTAAGGGCGATTGTGGCCATGGAAACACTCCTATGGTAGTTCACAGCCGAACAGAGGGGTGTGTAACGGTGATGATCAATAAATGCAAGCCACGGAGGCCACACGGCTATTCTGTCAGGGGAGGACGATGGCACCACCCTGCCATTGGAAGCCATGCTGCTAGTTTCATCAGGAGTCAACACAGGAAAGAATGGAAGACCCAGCAGTACCCAGGAAGCAGAATCCACAGCGCCCAAGGGTTTAGGAAGACCATGGTCACATCATGATTATCTCTCTGGTGTGAGCTAGCTCACTCACTCACTCTGACAATGACACGGACCACCAAGAAGACAGGCAACTCAAGAGAGGGGCCCCAACAAGTCCCTTGATGCTGAGTTAGAGAAATTAAAGTCCCACTGGGAGAATTACAGGGGCCCTGAACAGTCCACACAGGAGGGTGCTGTGTGTGTGCATAAGTTCACATGAGGAAGGGCACAGAACACATCGGTCGGAACCGGGCATCGTGGGCCTGTCATTGATCTTCTGTCAGTCCTAACATCTCCCTATCTAGAAGTGATGCTTTTGATCTGAGAGGACTGTTCTTTCTCTCTTTGATTTCTTCCCCCTCTGATGCCATTTATGAAGACAGTTTCTTAAAAGAGGCATTTTTTGATACATCATGAAAACTCATTTCTCACTCACCAGGTCTTGGCACAGATTCTTAGAGAGGATTTTTCCAGAGAAAACGAGGCAGTTCTGAAGCCACACAGGCAAGTTCCCTCCATCCTCTCTGCAGCCCCAATTTATAGCATTTAAGCTTTAATTTTAAACAAAGTTGAGTCTATTCATAAGTAATGAACAATGAAACACCCTGGCTGCCAAAGCCTCGATTATGAGGCTTCTGATCTAGAACAGAGTAACCACGTCTGTGCTGCCCCAAAGGAGAAAGACCTCCCATGAAGAGTCTGCTAATCCTCCCAAATGTATGAAGGACAGAGAATGGCTGGGGACTCACATTACCTTTCCGAATCCACGGGGCCTAAAACCTAATATAGCAATATTTTTTACTCTTCCTACAATCCTATCATTCCCCTACCCGGTAATTTCCAGAGCCTCTCAATCCCAGTAAAACTAAGTGTAAACTTCTTAACCTCCAAAGTCCACCAAGTTGGGGGAATTTCAAGCTGACCAGTGGCTGCAGCCAGGAAAGGGGTCC